AGTGAGACGCACACTTGCACCTCCGTCCGTGTCTGCTCGCATGCTGTCTCGCACTGGCCCACGTGCACACGCACGCACACAGCGTGGCCGACTTCCCGAGGTCGTCCTGAGTGTCCTTACCAGGCGGCGTGGCCACGGCATTGTCACGAAGCAGGGCCTCTGGCACACTCACTGCTCAGCAACGGAGCCCGGAGCCCCCAGTGAAGGCCCGCACGGTTACTGGCAGGTGCCTGGGGGCGTGACCCGTGAAGGCCCGCATGGCCCTGTCGTGTCTGTGTTCTCAGATGGATCAAGGGCTGTCCTCCGACTGCTTGGTCCCCGTGCTCTCGTTCCTGGTTTTCTCGCTTTCTGCCCCGCTTAACGAGGTCTCCGGGGCAGCGGGTCGGCGTCTGGCGACATGTTGTACGTTTGTGTACCGCGGTGTCACAGGCACGAGTTGGTGCGACGGCTGATCCACAGGCCACAGCCACGCAGACACCGTCCCAGTCCTGCTGCCGTAGCGCCGTCCTCTCCTCGTCCAGAGACCAGGCCACTCTCCTTCTTTGGGAGGGAGCGCGTGTGGGTGTAGGAGACCCTTCTGGGGGTGGGACCCCTCGTAGGCATGGGTGCGGCTCTCTGCCCCATGAGGATTTGGGACCTGCCGTGGCAGCAGCACTCGCGCTACTCGGGTTTGCAAGTCCCTGTGGTCACTGCAAGTTCGGCATTGAAAAGGCGTCGTTGAGCCACACTTCTCTCTCCGCGCGGCTCGTGTGGGCCTCGTGGGAAGACACGAACTTCACACGGTGTGAAATGCACAATTTCCCCGTGAACGGATGGCCCGCGAGCCGTGGGCAGTGGCCTTGGGCTGGCTGTGTCCCCACGCCCCGCCGGCCGCACGTGCGCCAGCCGCCCTCGTCCAGAGGACTTGGCCCACTTGTCACTGGCCTGTCCCCTCCCCATAAGTGCTGAGCTCAGCACCAGACCTAAAAACAGGCATTTTCACGTGCGGAAGACTCAGCGGTTCTTACCCCTTGGAAACGGAATCCTGCGTTTTGTTTCGTTTAGTTGAAGCAAAGAGAGGTCGTTGTTGTGGCAGGTAATTGTTTAAATACCGTTTTGACAGACACTAGACGTGCCAGAGGCAGGAAGCCAGGCGGGGACCGTGTGAGATATTCAAATGACTTTCCTGAAAATGAACCTCGCGTTTTAAATAATAGATGTTTATCTCCCAGGATAAACCTTAAATATGCCCGTTTTCACTGAAATGGCATGTTTTTAAAAGGACGAGCTGTACCCAGAATCCACCGCGTCCCGCCGGCTCTCAGAGGCGCCACAGGGCGGTCCCGGGGGACGTGGAGGCTGTCATTTCCAAAGCGTGTGACTGCAGCGGGGCCGCGGTCGAGCCCGTGGGGCCACCTCTTCACGTCTGGAACACGCCTCAGCCACACGAGGAACCGTGTTGGCCGAAGACTCATTTACGTCTTACTGTGTTAAACGTTGTGGAACGAAAGAGCGAGTGGCCGAAATTGTGCCTTAATCAGGCTCTGATTTTACTTTTATATTTCCTCTTATAGAAACACTGATTTGAGTCTAGCTCGGCATTAAGTTCTCTGAGCTCGTTCAGTGGACAAAAGGCTGAGGGCCCTCCCCAGTGAGGCTGCGGGGAGTCGGGCAGCAGACAAGCTGGTCTCGGCTCCCACCCTGCCCAGCACCATTCCTGGGGTACACTTGTGTGTTCACGTGGGAAGAAAGCGTCTCAGCTGGGAGAGGAGACGCGTTTCATTTCTGTGGGACGGAAGCAGCCCCCGTGAGAACCGCGTCGAAACGGGCACTGTGTGTGGGCTCTCCGTGGTCAGTGAGGGACTCGTGTGCACGGGGTCACGGGATGGCGCGTGCGTGTGCAGGGCTGAGAGAAGCTGTCCCGTGGCCTCTCCACCTGCCGAACACATGGTTGCGGCTCGCCTGGGCCCCCGGCGGAGACCCTGCCGCGAGCACACGCCTGCACACACCTGTGGAGTCTGTGTCGGTCAGACGCCTGTGGGTCTGGATGGAAGTGACTCTGTGTTAATGTGGCAAAGCCAGTGGACGAGACCACGTCCACAGATGCGTGGAGCCTGTCACAGGCAGAAAATGCTGCAAACAGCCTGCCCAACGCGTATGTCTTTCCCCGACTTCCCGACCGAGCACAGTGCTCCATGGTGTGTCTAGAAAGCCCAGACGTGAGTGTGTGTGTGTGTGCATACGAGTTGCGCCTGCTGTATATTGAATGTGAGCGCACAGGTGTTTGCTGCGTGTGTGCACATGGGGTCCGAGCGTGCGTGTGCGTGTGGGGTCTCTGCATGTGTGGGGTCTGAGTGTGTGTCTGAGCATGTGGGGTCTGAGTGTATCTGTGTGCACTTGAGGTCTGAGTGTGTATGTGTGTTGCGTGTTTGCACGTGTGAGTGTACAGGTGTGTGCTGCGTGAGTGGGACACTTGGGAACCTTCTGCGTCCCCAGCCGTGCCCCCTCCTGCACTGAGCACCCATCTTCGGAGGTTGCCCAGGTGATGTCAGGGTCTCTCGCACCGTACCTGTGACTTGAGCACACGGGATGCCCCGGCCCTCAGCCCCTTCCCGGGACTCACAAGCGCCCAGTTCTCTGTCTTGGCGGTGGCAGGCCGGGCCCTGGCACTCAGGTTGCTGACTGCGTGGATCTGCGCCGAGGACAGCCTGTCATAGCGCAGATGCTCTCGTGGGAGCCTGTAAGGGGCTCATTTTCTAACTGACTCAAACAGTAAGTAAACGAGTCTCTCCCCGGCCTGGCTTTGATTAAAGGCTCGCGCTGACTTGAGTCACACTTGGAGCAGCAGGCGTGTTCCTTGGGTTGATGCTGGGGCTCGCTCGGTTTCCGTTCTCGACCGGCACTCTGACATCGGAAGCGTTTGTGTTGACGGTTCCGAGTCGGGTTGAAGACGAAGACATTCACGTGCTTGGGACGTATGTCGCGACACACTGGAGCTGGTCTCACTCGGCCCCGGGTGGCGGGGCCCGGCGTGGCTGTGTCCTCCTCCCCACGCCAGGGCACCCTGGAGAGGCGTCGGCTCTCGGCCCACGTGAAAATCGACGCGCGTGCACTTGGCACGTGGACACCTGCACTTCCCAGGAAGCGAGACGTTTGCTGCCCGACGCTGGGGAGGAGCCTACCTTCTTCCCTCCTCCCAGCCGCTGGCAAGCGCGCACCCGTGACTCAGGACAGGGCGGTTCCTTCCGAGGCCGGGGCCACATGAGGGCTGCAGCCCGGAGCTTCGGAAGGGAGTGCTCAGCGCGCGGGCCCTTCGAGTTCCCGTGGCGTCTCGCTGACCAGCACCTGGTGCTCAGCAATGGCTGACTGCGAGCGGCCGGCCTGCACCTACTGGAAGCTGCCTCTGCGCCCGGAAGGACGGCGGAGACCGGCCCTCGCCCCGCATCCCCCATCGGGGCTGTCGCTCCTGTTTCCGAAGTTTGTGGTTCTCAGGCGGCGACGTGAACGGGAGTTTGCCAACCTGCACAAACCCAGCTGCCTGGAGACGCGTGTGCGAGGGTTGGCTCTGGACGCCTCCTCACAGCCCTCCTGCCTGCGGAGAAACCCTGTGTCTGTGTTCACGTCAGAGCTCTGTGTCTCCCTGTGACGCCCCGTCACGGCCTTTGCCTCGTGCCCTCCCAGCTGCCACGCTCCTGGGGACGCCGTCCATCTGCTCCCGTTGGTGTTTGCTGCCTGCGCTGGCCCCCCGCGGGCACGGGGCCACCTACCCCGCCACCATGGTCTGGGCCTGCATTGACCAGCAGGTCCTTGTGACCCTGTATCTGCGTCCTCGGGGTGGACGAGGCGACCCCGGGTGGGTGAGGTGACCCTGGGGCGGCCTCCTTGCAGCACAGAGGCAGAGCCTGGGTGTCTACGTGGGTGTCCCTGTGCCTCCCGGCCCCGCCGCCTGCATCTTACCTGCCTGGGGCACGGAGGAGGCTGCTGTGGGGGGCTCATGCGGTGTCCAGCCCTTGCAACCGTGGCCAGTGGGTGGGATGGCGAGTATGTGTGTCCGCATCGAGGGTCATCCTTCTGTAGCTCCTCGGAGAGCACACTCTGGCTGCGGGCGGGTGGCCGTGGCCTCCTGGTGGCCCTGGTGGCATTCCTACCCAGATGCCGTCCTCATGGCAGAGTGCACTCGGTGCGTCGGACCGTGGTGTTTGAACGACCGCCTGTTGTCAAGGGAAGTGAGCACAAAAACAGAAAGTAGAAGTGAAGAAGCGTGGGGTTTCGGGGCCCATCCTGGGCTCCGGGTGGTGCTCCGGGGACGCGGGCTGGCGGGCATGGTGCTGCATGTGGCTGTCACCTGCCCCTGGAGGGGACAGGCCCTGAGCTGGGAGATCAAGGGTCCGAGTGTTTATGGCTTTCTGCACACGTCCTCTTTGCTGTTAGGACGGTTTGTGAGTGAGAAGGGGGACTTGCCCTGCCCGGCGCGTCCGAATTGTTTAGGGAAAGGGTTGTGAACGGCTTGGTGTGGCCCTGGGATCGTGGGTGGCGCCTGCTGGATGTGGTCCTTTCAGCAGGCATGTGCCAGGCAGAGAGTGGACGGTGTTGTCACAAGGTGCCAGGGAGGCACGCCCAGGGAGGAGGTAGAGGCTTTGGGGGAGGCGGGAGGAGCCGAGCACAGCCACACATCACCACTCGGTGCCCTGGGTGCTGCTCACGGTGGTGGCATGGCGCGTGTGCAAGATGAGCACCTGTGTGTGACACGTGGGTACATGGGGCACTGGGTGAGCGTGCGATGCACACACATACGGCACACGTGGGTGCGCATGTTGGAACGGAGGCAACAGGAGTGCTCCCAGCCAGCATGGGACTAGGAGTCTGTCACAGAGACGCGGACGGGGACCGCGCCGTGGGGGGACTTCGCGCCGAGCACCGGCTGAGCGTTTTTCCAGTGAATCAGCCTCTGCTGGCGCACACCAGGCGGGCTCGGAGCTGTGGGCCGGCACGCATACGGAGGCTTCTCCTTCTCTCGCCAGCTTCACGGCTACTTGGAGAACGAGCCACTCACACTACAGCTGTTCATCGGGACGGCCGACGACCGCCTACTGAGACCCCACGCCTTCTACCAGGTCCACCGGATCACGGGCAAGACCGTCTCCACCACCAGTCACGAAGCCATTCTCTCCAACACCAAAGTCCTGGAGATCCCGCTGTTGCCGGAGAACAACATGCGAGCCATGTGAGCTGTGCGCGTGACCGGGGCGCTCGGGGCAGGCGCTGGGCCGCGGGGCCTCCCCCAGCCTCTGGCCCGGGCTCCACACCCGTGGAAGCCACAGATCCGTAGGGGGACGGGTTTTTGTAGGGCCTCTGCCTCTGGGCATGTGGCACTTGAGCAGCTCGGTCCCTGTGGCCAGTCCCCCTTGTGCCTGCGTTCACCTCCTGAACACAACACCGGGTCATTTCTGAGTTCGGGGGTGACCGCACAGCGACACTGACGGTGGGTGGGGTGCAGAGTTCTCTCTGGGGGGGCTCTGTCATCGCCGATGTGCGTTTGGACTGCCCTCGTGGCTCCAAGGAAGCCGTCTCTGGGCTGACGACTGACCTTAAGAGGTCCGTACCCGCGGCCTCCTCCCCTCCTCCCGACGACTGTAGGGCGCCCCACGCTCCGCTCCCAGGGTGTGAGGAGCGAGCCGTCTCCTGGGCGTGCTGTCGCGTGGGCCCGGTGGGCTCGGCTGGGGGCAGAGCGGAGACGCCCTGTGTGGCACATCAGGGACTAAAGGGCAGGTGTGGACCCTTGTTCCGAGTAGCGTGGACTGTGCTGGGATCCTGAAGCTCAGAAACTCAGACATCGAGCTGCGGAAAGGGGAGACGGACATCGGGAGGAAGAACACCAGGGTCAGGCTGGTCTTCCGGGTCCACATCCCGCAGCCCAGCGGCCGGATGCTGTCCCTGCAAGTGGCCTCGAACCCCATCGAGTGCTGTGAGTATCGGAGCCGGCCCCGTGTCCCACACTCTGTTTCGTGGCACCTTTCCTGTCCTTGTGCGTGGAGACTTGTGAGCTGTCCTCATGTGTGCATCACTCTTGTCCCTTGCCCGTGGCAGCAGCCCCCAAAAGCTCGCCGTGCTGGGTTCGGGTTCGCAGGCTCTGTGTGCGGCAGGGCCCCTGCTCCTGGCACCTGCGGGGAAGAGGAGAGCTTGTTCCAAAACGCCCAGAAGCTTGCACTTGTCACCGTGAGCTAATCCCTCCCGTTTCAGAAACCTGGCGGGATCCTGGCGTCCAGTCCATGGGGCTGCGCGGACCTAAGCTCGCAGCTCGTGTGCGACTCACTCACCCTCCCTCCCAGCCCCTGCTCGTCTCTTCTCTCGTCGTGCGTGTGATTCGGGGCGTCTGGCCTCGAGCCCGAGCGCTCTGCTCCTGCGGGGCCGTGGCCGCAGCAAGTGCTCAGTGTCCCCGGGGCGTGACTGTGCTGACTTTTGTCCGCCCGCGAGGCTGTTGGTGGAGGTCTCACAAGTGCCCGTGCCCAGGCCTTGAGCGGGGCGCCCCGGAGGTCTCTCTGTGTTCTTGTAGGAAGTGTGGCTGGCCCACCCTCCCCCTGGCCACTGTCCGAGTCTCTCCTGTCCGGCGACCCCTCTTCCTTCCCTTGTAGGGTGTGGCTGCCCCCACGGCTCGCTGTCCCTTGTCTCAGTGGAAGGGCTGGGTTTGGTTCGCTCACCTCTGACCTGACCGTCCGACCTACCTCAGAGCCTAGGACTCCTTCCCCGCAGTGTCTGTCCCGTGGCCCCAACGTGGAGCCCCACAGACACCCGTCCCCACGCCTCAGCATGGCCCAGGGCTCTGCCACAGGCCACTGCACATGCCCGAGGCTCGGCCTCCTCCCTGCAGACCCACCGGCTGGGTGAGAACCGCGTATGTGTAGCTGGCCACGGGAACTTTGGGTTGATGGCCTCACGGCGCCCCGTCCTCCCCAGGTGACCCCACTTCCCTGCATTCCGCACCTTGCTACCTCACGGCTGCTGGCCTTGTCCCAGACCCTCTCGTCCCGTGGCTCCATGGACAGGACCCAGGGTCCCGAGACCCCACCCCCAGTTTCCACAGGGCCTGCGGCCAGGCCTCACCATGGCTCCCAGCTGCAAGAGCCCGTGGACACAGCGTCCGGATGGGCGCTTCTTACCTGGAGTCGTGTATCCCGTCCACAAGCAGCACCCGTGTCACCCTAGAGGCTGAGGGTCCCCCCCTGGAGTGGCCTGTTCATGCTCAGACCTGCACCTCTGCTCACGCCCTTGTGACTTGGCGTTCCCGCCAGCACAGATCAGACGTCCGCCTGCTGTGCTCGTGTCCACGTGGTGCCACGAACCCGCATCTCGTGCAGGAGGCCGTCCATGTACGCGCCGCGCCCCCACCAGAGCCCGAGATGCTGCTGGGAGGTGCCCGTTTCTGACAGGCTGGACGACCCCGGGGTGCTGTCTCAGGTCACGGCATGAGGTGGGGCCGGGGACACATGCTCACTCTCCCTGTTCTGACCCCACGCAGCCCAGCGCTCGGCCCAGGAGCTGCCCCTCGTGGAGAAACAGAGTGCGGCCAGCTGCCCTGTCCTTGGTGGGAAGAAGATGGTCCTGTCCGGCCACAACTTCCTGCAAGACTCCAAAGTCATCTTCGTGGAGAAAGCTCCAGGTACTTCCTTACCAACAGACCAGGGCGTGCTTGCCGCTTTGGGAGCTGAGGGGGTCAGTTCCTAGAAGGCAGAGCAAGGCCGCTCGCTGGGTCTACACGTGCTGGGCAGTGGAAGCAAACCCTCTGGCTCTGCCATGCTTCCAGGCCTGCCGCCGCTGGCTGCCCGTGGCCCCTTGCCCTTTGCCCAGACTGGACGGACGTATGCTTCTTGGCTCTGAGCAGCCCCTGCTCACGGCCACTACGTGGCTGAGTTGGGCAGCGCCGTTCTGCTCTGTGTAGACGAGGGCTTCTTGTTACTCTGGACCACAGCCTTCTTGGTGGCAGGTGTGTGGATGCAGAGCGGCTGTGGTAGGCGGTGGACCCGCACTTGGACTGGAGGCCTCCCCACTGCCTTTGGCATCCTTCTGGCCCCCTTCTTGGTGCCGCCCCAGGATGCAGAACGGGTGCCGCTGTCCTCCGTGGCCCGTGGCCCCCGGGACTCTCAGTGCAGGTGTAGACCTGTGTGCTCAGCGGTACAGCCGGGCTGCTGCACGGGCGAGCTGGACGGTCTCTCTTCTCTGATGTTTGGGTGATAGCCCCGGCTGTGCACGCAGCCTCCCACCCCCCGGGACGCCCAACCCATCCGGGGAGAGGCCAGCGGGCACTCGCATACATAGCCAACTAGGGCAGGCGACAGTGTGTGTGGGGCTCGGCTCTCGCAGAAGCTCTCTGCGGCTTTGACTTCGAGCCAGGTCCCTGCTGAGCGTGGCCCGCAGGCACGAGGCCCTGCCCCCGATCGCAGGCCTGCGCTTCCTCCTCCCCGTTAATGGAGGGCACGGGTGCAGGACCCACGCTCACCACTGGAGACCACGGCAGGGTTCAGCCTCCACAACAGGGTCTTGATTTTGTGCCGAGAGCGGGAAGCTTAAGTGCGTCCATCAAGAGGGACTTGAAAGTCCTGTGCGCTGCGCACGCCCGGGCTGTGTGATCACACGCACGACTGGAAAACGCGAATTACAGGGAAAACCCACCAAGCATAACGAGCAGGAGAATTTGTGTTACTGCAGCATTCTTCTTTGAAGGAGCCTAATTTTGAAAGATTTAACCTTTTGAGCTTTCAACGTGTGAATAAGTGTGTGGGGGGAGGGGCCGCGAGGCAGTGTTCTGCCGGCCACGCAGCCAGGCGATGTGCCGGGACGTGGCCCAAGTCGCTGCTTTTCAGGCTGTGGCGTGAAGGGGGAGTGTCCGCGGCTTCCTTCCCTGTCTTCCCTGACCGGGCATCATCTTGGCCCTGTGTTGGGACTCTGGGGCGCCTCCTGGATGCTCCTGCTCTGTGGGAGCCGTGGGGCTCCTTCTGCTGGGTGGGCTCTCCCAGCCCAGCTGGCCCGCTCAGCCCCAGATCTTTGCTCCGTGGCCTGGTGGTGCCATACAGAGGTTGGCCGCGAGCCCGAGGTGTGGGGACGTAGTCCGCGGGTGCGTGCCCGGCGCCATCCTCCTCTGGGGGCCCTCTGACCCCGCTCCTGCAGCAGCCCTGAGCCCCGTGCACGGCTAACGAGACGCGGACATGTGTGGCGATGTGGTCGCAGGCTCGCCTGTCCCAAGTGAGTGTGAACGCCGTGGCCACACGTCGGGATGCTGTCGCTGGGGTGTGTTGTGTTTGAATGAGGTGGTTGGACGCTCACACACACACACACACACACACACACACACATCATGTTTCCAAAAGAAGGGACCCCATGTCAGCTTTGATCCTGGCACAGCATCATTCTGCTCTGACGCGTCCCGCTGCACCCTGAAACCATCGGAGGCTTTCCTAGTCGGTTTTGTGGAGAAACCGCTGTAGTCACTTTGGGTCATAGTTGTCCTGCAGGCTTTAGATGAGGTCATCGGTCTGTTGCAGAAGTCGGTCTTTAAACCGCCGTTTGGCACCAAGGCCAGAATGTGAGCAGGGAGACCCTCTTCGAGGAAGCCCTGACTGGGAGTCGCACCGGATAGGCCCACGTGGTCCCCGTCCCTTGGGCTGCTCTGGGTGTCTCAGGAGCACCCACCACCCCGTGTCCGGGCCTCCCTGCCCTCTCTCCGGACTCACGCACTCGTGGCCTGTGACTTGGTGAGGGCTGTAGGTAGCGGTTCTTCCCGCCTGGGGGCCTGCTGCACCTGCTGCGCTCCCGTGACCGGTGTGCCTGCCCTCCTGGGGGGAGCGGGTCGGAGAGGGAGGACGCCTGGCACCTGCGCTGAGAGCCTGGTTCAGTGTCCTCGTAGGTGGCAGCCCTGGCTTCTCTGGTGGGCGCTGGTGAGTCCCCATGGGCCAGCTCAGGTGGGAGGAGGGACTGTGGGGACCTTGCGAGACAGGTGAAGTGAGTGGGAGCAGGTGTGTGTGTGTCGGGCCGTGTGTGAGCGGATTTGTACAGTCTGTGTCTGTGTGAGGATCCCTCTGTTGCTGCAGGGGTGCGGCCACATCTTGTGGCAGGGACAGTGTGTACAGGAGCCCCACGTGCCCTGTAGTCTCTCTGCTCCAGCCTGGGCATGGTGGGGCGGGGCTGCGGGCTGTGGTCACCTGGTGGTGGTCTGGCAGCGAGGGCACAGTGGCAGCCCAGTGGGTGACCATACCTCCTGTCCCGGCCTGGTCCAGGGCCGTGGCCACGGGTCCCACTTCCTTGGCTCGCGGGCTCTGAGAGGTTTCTGGAGATCGTGTGGACATGGACACAGCCGGCTAGGGGGCAGTGGGTCCCACACGTGCAGGTCCTCACATGGCGCGGAGGTCCCGGGCATGGTTGTGGGAGGGGGTCCATAAGGACAGCCGCTGCGCCTGGCCCTCCCGCATCCGCGTGCCCTGAGGTGACGTCCGTGGGCAGTGTTTTCGGGTGGCCCACAGGCTTCATAGGCAGCAGGTACATTCCTCCGGGGCCTGGCCACGCAGGGTGGAAACAGCTGGTGCTTCTTGGATGGTGTCACCTGGGACCACGTGCAGGACCGATGGTGCTAGAAGCCGTGCTTGTTTCCAGGAAGTGGAAGCGGGCAGCAAGCCGGTGTGTGGTCTGGACAAGGCTTCTTCTCACACTGCGGCCTCCCCCATAGCCGGGAACTCCGGGGTATTCTAAGGTGTCTCAGGAGCAGCCCAACCGGCAGGATGGTGGCAGGGGGGTGCCATACAGAGGCCCTGTGGGGTCAGCGTGTGTCGCCGAGCCCCCCCCTCCTCCCCAGCTTACTGACGCCCCAGGATGCTCTGGTGCCCCCTGGGGAGGTGTGGCCTCAGCCCAGCCCGGTGGGAATTCCAGCCCCTCATCGGGCTGTCCTATGCTCCCAAAATGCTCTCTGGACCCTCCATTTGAGGGACAGGGGCGGCCCCTGAGGGTTCAGCGTGACCTTGGGTCCTGGTCCTTCCTGGGGCATGGGGTCCCGTGCTGGGGGATGTGTGGAGGACCCAGCGTGGGCAGGAGGGCCTTTCTGCAGGCCCCTGTGGCGCTTCCCGAGTCAGGCCTTGCACCGTTGCTGGGAGATGCTTGTCCCTGAAATTTCTTTTCTCTGGGCTGGTGGCCAGTCTTTCCTTGTGGTTTGCCCCCAAGCCACGCCCAGGTCCTCCCGGGTCAGCACCGAGGGGACATCCAGAAAGCAGGTGCGGGTCCCACCCCAGCGGTGAGAGTTTTCTGTTCCAGATCCCACCCTCTCGCACCCACTGGGAAGGGGAAGGGGCGCGGGAGAGGGTGGGTGTGGAGAGGATGCTGCTGGACAAGGTCACACAGGCTACCCCTTGCTCCTGTCTCCAGGCCATGGACACGCGGGTTGGAGAACTTAGGTTTTGTGTCACTCTGTTGAGATTAAACTCACATACTGTGCAGCTCAGACATTTAAGGCTCAGGGGTCGTTGGTCCCTTCGGAGCCGGTGGCCATCCCACTCATGCCCCGTCCACCCCATCCTCCCCGCCTGGCAGCTTTGAGCCGCGTCTGTCCGTGTAGCTCCACCAGTTGGGACAGCTCCTGGACACTGCCCTGTGGGTCCCGCGGCATCCGGCGGCTGGCCCGAGAGCATCTCAGGTGCCCCGGGCAGGGGTGTGGGTGGGACTTCGTCCCTCTTGAGGCCGGTCGTGTTCCATCGTGTGGACGGACTGTGTGGTCCTATGCACTTGTGGTGTGGACGGGACCTGCGCCCGCCTCTTGGCTGTGGTGTGCCCCACACTGGACCACAAGCTTCTGTGTGGATACGTGTGCCCTTCCTGGTGTGGCCCGGGCGCGGGGTCCCGGCTGAGGACTGCCGTGTCCAGCCGTGCGGGGTCCGGCCGGGCTGAGCCGCGTCTCTTTCTTGCTCGGGAGCATCTTCTGCAGGAAACGGGCTGCTCTGAGCGGCGCTGGGGGCCCGAGTCTGTGGCCTGGGGAGTTTCAGAGATTAAGGGGCATGAATGTGGGGGCGTCCCTCCCCCGGGTAGGACCCACCTGACCAGAACAGCCCCAGAGTTGTCTCCTCCGTGGCCCCACGGGAGTGTGGAGGGGCCCCGTTGGTGCCTCTCGCTTTGCCCGCAGCTGGTGACAGCGTGTGGCCTGTCCGTGGCCCGCAGACAGGCGGGGAGGGGACCACAGCCGGGAGCACGTCCCGCCACATGGCCGTGTGCTTCTGTCCGATCCCGCCTCTGTTGTCTCTATCCTGCCTGTTGGCTGTGCGACGGGCAAACCCCTTCCGCGGGTGCCGTGACTCGGAAGGAAGCCAGTCCTCTTGCCGGGGGCTGGAGTCACCGTGTCCAGGAGACTGCCGATGCTCGCACGGAGAGTGGGGGCCCCCACGTGTGGCCCTGTTGGGCCCAGAGCCTGCCCGGGAGCTGTGTGACTAAGAGCTGGGCTGGAGGCAGCCGCAGCCCAGCGTGGAATCCTCCCGGTGGCGGGTGTGGCGGGGAAGCCTTTCTGATGACTCACGCTGCAGGGAATTCCCTAATGATTCCGAATAGTTTTACTTCTGGGCTTGCGCACAGTTTCCTACCGAAGACGTCGGGAGCTCTAGATAGGGCTGGAGCTCCAAGCTTGTTTGGGGCTGGCCCTTCCCGTCCCCACAGAGGCTGAGGCTTTGCTTGGCCCAGAGACTGGACGCCCAGAGGCTGGACGGCGGGCCCCGGGTACCACCAGCTCCTGGGGAGACCAGCAGCCATGTCCCTGTGGTGCTGGTGCACGTGGGAAGCACTTTTGTAATTGCCTCGAGTCCACGGTGATGAGCCACATTGAATGGCCTTGGACAGTCTGTACACGTTTCTGTGTCTGTGTAAGTGGACAGCAGCTCAGGTAGGACCCTCAGTAAGAATGGGCCACGTGGCAGTCCCTGTGCACTGTCTCAACCGCAGATACAGAGTCAGGGCCTATAGGGCCGGCGCCCAGGACCGCTTCCCAGGCCTCAGGTGGGCAGGAAAGTGCGGACAAGCAGCTCCTGAGCGGGGGCCTTTCCGAAGCTGGCGATCGGCCGCGGTGCTGATGGTCCGTGGACGGGCGTCTGGCAGGGTTGGCATTGGGGAAGCTGAACGTGGCGTGCACAGGGGCCCGCGTGGCTTGTGGGCCCTGGGCCGACACTCTGACGAGGACGGGCACCCACAGGCCCAGGAGGGGCTCCGCTGGCGCGCGGGCTGCGGCCCACGGGGACGCCAACAGCTTCACGATGTGGATGAGCTTGCGAGACGTGCTCACAGGAAGGCCGGGTCTGCTCTGACCCCTCCTGGAGGGCAGATGGTGGGCGTGGGGTCCCTTTGCTGCCAAACACCCTCTCCCTGCCCCTCGTGGGCCTCGGTTTCCCTCCCACCCCTGCATGCTGGCTGTGGCCCCCACCGGGAGGCCCGGACACTCCTGGGATTTCCTCAGGGAAACCCGAGCCGCGCTTTCCACCGACACACGAGAGCCAGCAGCGGCCAGGGCTGCCCCCGCCGTCCAGGCCGTAACGCTGAAAGTTCTGTTTCTCTAAAGTTGTTTTAAGAGGCACCAAACACGAGGGACTTGCTTACAGGAAGAACAACTTCGATTTCCTTCGACCGGTAGTGGGCGGGGCCCCTGCCCGCGAGCCCGAGGCCGGTCTGGCCTGTGTGGCCCGGACGGCTCGTCTGGTCCGCACGCAGGGCAGCATCGCCAGCTCCCCCGGCTCGTGGTCGTCCGTCAGCTCCGGGAGCCGGGGTGCGGGGGTGCTTCTGCCCTCCGGGAAGTGAGCAGCTTTGTACAAGTCTTGGTGCCGTGGAGAACGGCCTGGGGTAGTTTTGTTTCCGATTCTGTTTTGCCGGAGATGTGGACGCTGATCCCTTGGGCGGCCAGTCTGCATTTTATCATTGAGTGGGTTCATCTGGTGGGTAATGCGTGCTGGGACCTCGGGCGTCCCGAGGTGCTGGTGTGGTCCTGGCAAGTTGACCCTGCTCTGGGCTCTGGGTGACTCACACTTCCTCCCTCTGTCTCCACCCTCCACCCCTGCCCGCCCGCACTGTCAGGCACAAACAGATTTTGTCTACTTCGTTGATAGAGTTTAGGGTCTGTGAGGCACATACATCTCTTCTTTGCAAACAGAGCAGGAGCAGAAACTAAGTGTGTTTCACTGTCATTGTTCACTGGGGACAGAGTTGATAGAAGATGGGGAGAGGGGACACCTTGGCAGGAGACTGACCCCTGCTCATTCAGATTAGCTACCCAGCCAGTCCCCACACAGTTGGCCGGCAGTAGAGGGTTTCCAAAGGCCAAGAACTCGGTTGCCGACCTTCCCGCCAGCGGGCTTCTCGGGGCTCCCTCCCTCGCTGGCCTGGGCCGCAGGACACTGAGCCTTTCAAGGCCGGTTGGGAAACTTTTTACTTTTTTTTAAGCATGCAAACGGCCGCTGGGGTAAGGATAAAAATACCATGTTTTGCATTTCTGTATCCTGATGTGGCAAGGAGTTGTCACAGAAGGGATTTTCTCATTTAGCCGGGAGCTCCTGTGAGCAGAGGCCGGATTGTGGGTCCTGGGCCCTCACTCGTTAGAAGAGCTCTGCTCCCAGGACGTGCAGAGGTGTTGCCGGCCCAGGCCATTTGGCCCACACTCCCCGGCGTACCGACCGCAAGGGTGGAGGGGGTGGGCACGAGTGCCTGGGTCCTGGAGTCTCCCCTGGCCTCACACTCCCGTGACAGAGCTTGTGCCTATGGATGTAGGCAGGGTGGGGGCAGATTTCTGGGGTGCTCCCTGCGTGTGGTTCCCTCCCACAGAGCCCAGGGCCTTTGGGCTGCACCAGGCTCCCTGCCGTACGTCTGGGCCGGGCACGTCCTCTCTGCTGTCAACCCTGCACGTGACTGTTCATTCTTACGAGCTAACAGCCAGTAGGGCCCGAGCTGATCAGAGGGCAGCGGTCTCCGGGGTCCCCTGTGCTTGGCGAAGGCCCTTGGTTTGGGGTGGTGGGCTCAGCCAGGCCCCCGGAGTGATGCGCTTCCCTCTGCCCCTTTCTTCTAGACGGTCACCACATCTGGGAGATGGAGGCGAAGATGGACAGAGAGCTGTGCCAGCCGGTGAGTACGGCCAGACACGCAGCCTGTGGTGGCGCCGGGCGGCTCTGGAGGCTGGGCTGGGGTTGCCAGGCGGTGTGCGGAGCTCTCCTGCTCACAGGAGCGACGAGAACCACCAGGCAGAATCCCGGAGCACAGAGCGGAAACTACGGTGAAGCGCTTCTAGGAGCTCGTGCTCTGGGGACACAGGACATGCTGGAGGCAGGACCCTGGCCCGGGAGGCACCCCACACCCCCAGCACTGAGGGCTGCAGGCTCCTGCGGGGGTCGGGGGCTCGCACCAAGCCAACGTCCTGGTGGTCCCGCGGGCAGCCCGCCGCTGTGAGCGTGAGTGGCCCCTCACCTGCCCCTGCACGCCGGGCCGCAGGAGGTCCCACCAGCGTCCTTGGCGCCCGTCACCCAGCAGGCTGTCGTTCTGCACGGGAACTAGGTGTGGCCAGATCTCATGTAGGCACTGGCAGGCCGCGGAGGTGGGGCCCGCAGACCCGGCACGCACGCCCCACCCGACGCCCGGCTGCCCCCGGCCCCTCACTACAGTTTGCACGTGCAGGGCCCCCGCGGGTGCTGACGGACGGTGCCCTACGCAGGCTTTCTGCGGCTCGTGCTGGCCGGCACGCTGTTCTGTCCCCCTCCCACCCCGTCCCCTTCACCAGGGCCTTTGTGTTGAACGTGGGCTTCTTTGAGACAGCAGCTGGCTGGTTCCGACGGTCTGCCTGTCCAGGTTGGCACTGGAAGGGATTCTCGGAGCGGTGGGACTAGGGTCTCCCGTGCAGCATGTGTGCGCTGCTTGGTCCTAGAGAGGCAGTGGGTGTCTGCGGGCTCACCTGACGTCCACTGTGCCCAGCCGGTGGCTGAGGGTAGACATTCAAAGTTCTCCCAAGCTCCGTAGCTCACTGTCCTGCTCACGGATGGGCGAGTGCGGCCCCTCGCTCACCCTGCTGACCGCGGGCAGGCGTGTGTGGCCGTTCTGTCAGCGGGAAGTTGGCTTATTCAGTGCTGGGGAGGGAGTGTCCTGTGTTCCGGGGGCTCCGGGGGCCCGGGTGTTACAGCAGGCTTCCCAGGGAGCCTTTGGGTGGGGGGATTTCTGAAGCTGTTAGGTCGTCCTCTCTGCCCTGCGGCTGGAGGGACTCCTGAGTCAGGAGGGGAGCCCCCGGCCGCCAGGGAGGCGATAGTCTGACGGCTGTGCGCACAGCGAGCCCAGGCAGCCCAGGTCCCCCACAGGCGGCTGCATCAGAACCCAGTAGGTTACCTGTGACTTCAGCTTCCCTTTCCAAAGCTCTAATCCATTTACCAGAAGCCTTTACAGCTGGAGTCGGATGGAAAAGGTTCCTCCCTGGCCCCAGGGGAAACCTGTGCCTGGGAGCTCAGTCCCCTCCCGTGATGTCCAGGCCTCCTCCCGCCCTCGGGACCTCCCACGAGCATGCGGCTCCTGCAGGTCCCGTCCCATTTCCCGCCTGCCCGAGGACGCCCCGTGGGCTGTGGGCCGTGCGGTTCCTCGACGGGGCTCTCCTGGCTCAGCAGGGCTCCAGGTGCAGATGGCTCCCGGGTTTGTCGTAAGCAGACACCTGGCAGAGGGACAGAGGCCACCGGCCGTCTCCAGCAGCCTCCCCGTGCGCCCAGGCCTGTGAGGGCCCCCCGGCCCCCACTCCCCCGAGCAGGGAAGAATCCTAAGGCTTTTCGTTTCCAGACAATTCCTGCCAAGTTTCCACAGTCAGGTTTAGCGTCGTTGACTTGCCGTTTGGCTGGAGCGTTTGCGTCCGTTGAAGGAAGGTTAGCAGGCGGAAAGGGGTGTGAGAGAGACCTTAACGGTCCGTGTGAATGAGGGTGTGCTTTCGCTGTGCAAGTCAAGCTTCTTACCTCTTAATCAAGGCTTTTACATCATGAAGGAACAGGGTAGTCATTGTGGAAATTTGGAAAACCTAAGAAAGTGAAAAACGCAGGCACCTCACGCAGTTTCACCACTGCTACCGTTTGGTCCTGCCCGGCTTTCCGTGGCGTGGGTGTGCGTGTACGTGTGTGCGTGCGTGAGGGTGTGGTGAGTGTACTGTGCGCGCGCGTGTGTGAACGTGTGTGCGCGTGCGTGCGGGTCTGGGTGTGGCGTGTGTGAGTGTGTGTACACGCACGTGGC